TTGTGGAGGCTAGAGGAGAGGTTTACACTAGCTTTTTATGGAGCTTGGAGACCCACAGGTTTGAGAACAAAGGACTCTCAGTATCAAAGGCTCTCTAAAGTTCTGGCATCTCCGATGAACCCATGGAGTCTTAGTATTAGAATCCCTGAGCTCAGAGACCTCAGAGACCATACGTTGAATTTCACGTAGTACAGCTGCGAAGTGAGCCCAGAGAGGGCCTGCACCTCATTGTAGGTAGCACAGCACGAAGCTCAGTAAACTGGGATGAGCTATGATGGTGACATGGAGGCAGGGACATGGACTCCCTGTCCCAGCAAGGCCCTGCCTAGGGTGGGGATCCTGGGTCACAGGATCAGAGCCACCAGTGCAGTCCTTCGCTGGAGATCTGAGCAGATGACTGCCTCTGGGTTGTGGCCCAGAAGTGGTGGTGCCCCCTGCTGGTTGTAGTGGAATTCCAAAGTGGAAGTACATCACAGCACAAGGCTGGGGGAACAGATTTCAATGCTCTGCCCTACCTAGGCTGACCACCCAACGGCCAAGTCCTACCCCTACAGAAGGTGGGCTGCCATCCTGTGGTTGTGCCTTAGCTCCAGGGGAGGAAGGGCTCAGTCTAAGGAGAAACTGGGGCTAGGAAGCCAGGGCAGGAGCTGAGCTGGGGCTGTCTGGAAGACTAGGTTCAACCTGCATTCAGGTCCAGAACCTGACCTCACTGGCTCTGTCATGGGAAGTCCGCCACTCTCAGTTATAGCTGTCTCAGAAGTGCTCAGGGAGGTAGTTTTGGGGTCTTTTTGGTCCCACGGTGGGTCTGAGAGATGAACCCAGAGCCATGAACTGCAGGCAGTGAGGCTGGTGAGGGCCCAGGGGACTGCTTGGGTCAGACTTGCCATCCAGTTACCTCTGGGCCAAGAACATGAGCGGGTCAAGAGTCAAGGAGTGTGTGGCCATACTCAGGGAGGCGGGTGGCTTGCTGAAGCACTGGAGTTAAGGAGAAATCTGGGGGAAATGGAAGAATATGTGCTTTGGTGTCACACAGATAATGATCAAATCCCAGTTCTGCCATTGCCAGGCTGTGTGGCCTTAGGCAAGTGACTTCACCTCTCTAAGTAAGAACTCACCCACCCAGGGTGTTAAGAGGATCTGCTGAGACCCCACGTGGCCTGGCCTCTCCAGGCCACTGGGCTTAGGAGCTCCCTCTTTGCCCTCTTCCCTCAGGGCAGGGCTTGCCCTGGATGTCAGGGGCACTGCCCGTAATTGCCCCGATGTCTGCCACCATTTCCCTCCCCAGTGCAGCCCTGCAATCCATCCAGACCCAGCTTGGGATGTCGGTTCACTTGCCTTTGCCAGGCAGGACTCCTCATTGGTCATAATTGTGCCCAAAATAGCACTTCTCCTTGCTGCTTCCTGCAACCTGGACTGTGGCTTAAGGTCTATGAGGACAGAGAGAGACTTGGTGTTTGGCAGGCATGCAGAAGATGTGAGTGGCTCTCAGAGGTCACCTAGGTCCAGAGAGAGGAAGACACTTGCCTAGGGGTACACAACGAGAAGAGGCCAGGGCTGGAGCCTGAATTTAGACCCCTGGGTCCCCCATCCCCTCCCCAGGCCTTGTCCAGAGGTCTAAGGCGGGGCCTTAGCCAGACCTGTTGCTCCCTCCATCAAGCCCTCTGGACCTGCAGACTAGTGCTGAGGCTGGTTGAGGTGTGTAACGGGGCCCTGGGAGGCCAGCTAGTCTAGCCTCTGCCACCCCCGGTTCCTGGGGGTCATTTCCTGACTTTACTGACCACAGAAAACCTACCTGCCTGGGATGTCCTCCCTAACCACCCTCAGCTTCAGTGATACCTTACTGTGACCTCAGGCAAGTCCTTGTCCCTCTATGAGCCTCATCTTTCCCATGAGGTGGATGGGCTGGCTAAACCCAGCCTTCTGTCCCTAGCCCAAGCAGCCACCTGGAGAACCTCCTTGAAGAGGAGATGGCCTTTGACCCTGACTCTCTCCCCTCCTCTGGCTGGTCTAAGGAACACGAGCCAGTCACCTCATGAGTGACTAGGTGTGGCCCTGGCTGCTCAGGCTGTCTCTTCCGTCCTCTGGTCACACCCTGAGGCCAGCCTTCTTCTCTTTCACAAGTCATGAATACCTGAGCAGACAGAGCAGATGTGAGTCCAGGTTCTATCACTTAGTAGGTGGGTGACCTTGAGGAAGGCATTTGACCTCTCTGAACCTCTGTTTCCTCATCTGAAAGAGAGGGCAATGGTACCAACCTCCCAGGACCACTATGAGGTTAGAGACAATCTGCGCTCCTGCCTTGTGGTGAACACTCAGTAATGGAGGCTGGGGTTATTGTTTTGTGGCTTGCAAGACCTAGAGTGGGATCTCACCTGAATTCTCCAGATTTAATTCAACCAATATTTATTGAGCACCTACTGTGTGTCAGGTGCTGCAGCAGGCCTGGGGATGGAACAAAGAACAAAACAAAGTCCTGGCCCCATGAAGCTCCCAATCTCTCCTCCCCTGCCCTTCCTCTTTGCCCTCCAGTGGGGACCCTCACACCAGGCTCCCCCACCCCTCCTTACCTTGGTTCCAGCTGTTTCCTCTTACCGTCAAATCCCAGCCCCAGCGGCCACCCCAGCGGCCAGCCACAGCCATGCCCTTTAATGCAGTTCTCCCCTGTGGTCAGCAAAACTAAACCATGGTATCAGAAGCTAGGGTGGTGGTGACCCTTGGAGGGTAGACAGGAAGGGGGTCTAATAGGAGCTCCTGGGGTGACAAAATGTTCTGTTCCTGGATCTGGGTGTGTTCCCTTTATTCATCAAGCTGCACACTAATAACTTGTGTACTTTTTGTATAAATGTTCTTCTCTCTTTTTTTTTTTAGGCACAGGGTCTTACTATGTTTCCCGAGCTGGATCCAAATTCCTGGGCTCAAGTGATCCTCCCTCTTCAGCCTCCCAAGTAGCTGGGACTCTGGGAATGTGACACCATGCCCAGCCTAAATATTATACTTCATTAAAGTTTCCTCAAAAAATATTGATACCTGGGTCCCACCCTGAGTTCTGATTTCACTGACTTGGGATGGGCCTGGGCCCCCCCCTTCAGGGGAGTACAGTGTGAGCTCAAGCTGAGAACCGCTGCTTTAGAGGAGCGGTCCTCCCAGGAGTCCCCCCTCGGCTTATTTATGCCAGGATCTCCCTGCCCGAGGCTGACTGGCTCAGGACTGAGCACCTAACTGAGGGCAGCTGCCCACAGGCTGGCCAGTGCCCTGGGATGTGGCCTTCGAAGTGACAGTGGTCTGGGACAGTCCCATTCCTCCGAAAACACTCAGGGTGGGAAAATGGTGAGGATCTGGCCTTGGATATTTAGCACTGAAACTGGAGTCTGCCCAGGGGCCTCTGTGCCGAGGAGGCAGAGCCCCTGAGCAGCAGCTGGCTGGCAGTGAAGGAGGAACAAGAGACTTGAGGCAGGGAGGTCCTGAGATGCAGCTCCGATGTCTGAGCCACTGCCCTTGGATAGCTACTTACTGCCAGTTCATGTCTCCACTAATAAGGATCCCTTCTACTTCAGGGGCACAATGAACCTCTTCCTTACAATCCAAAGACCTGTGCACACTGAGCAACAGTCCGGTGCAGGAAGGGATGATCAGCCCCATTGCACAGATGAGGAAATGGAGGCTGACAGGGGATACAACTCATCTAAAGGCACATAGCTAGTAAGCAGCAAAGTCAAGATTTCAAACAGTGTCTGTCCAGCTTCAAAGCCTGTATTCAGGCTGGGTGCAGTGGCTCACATCTGTAATCCCAGCACTTTGGGAGCGGGGAGGACTGCTTGAGCTCAGGAGTTTGAGACCAGCCTGAGCAAGAGTGAGACCCTGTCTCTACTAAAAATAGAAAAATTAGCCAGGCATGGTGGCACACACATGTAGCCTCAGCTATTCGGGAGGTTGAGGCAGGAGGATCTCTTGGGCCCAGGAGTTTGAGTTTGCAGTGAGCTATGATGACGCCACTACACTCTAGTCTGGGCAAAAGAGCAAGGCTCTTATCAAAAAAAAAAAAAAGAAAGAAAGAAAAAAAAAGAAAGAAAAAAGGCCTATGTTCCTTTTGATGCTTTGTTTCATCATAAATTCCACATGAAGATCGCCTTCTATTCTGTAATGTATCTGTGTTTAAAACAGTCCCCTCCTCCCCAGTAAAATGATGCTACAGGGAGACAGTCCACACCATGTCCTGTGGCACTGAGAACCCAGCAGACCCCCAAGAGACGTATATGCCAGTTTGCAAAGCATAACCCTGCACACCTCCTTGGGAACTGACTTTTTAAGTTAGGCATTAGGTTGGAAATGTTCCCATGGGTTTAGCAGAGCTGAGGCACGGTCTCACCTTTTCTAGTGGTGGCCACCTTGAGTTCTGCAGGTGACCTATGATGGGAAGGGCTCTCTGCCCCTGCACAGAGTGGCCCCATGTTGCTGGGCCTTTGTATTCTTGTGTCTGATTTAACGACATACCTCTCTGAACCAGAAATCAGACAGACTCGGATGCTACCCCTGTTCCAAACCCTGACAAAGACTCATCTTGGCTTTGTCAGGGTTCTCCAGCTGCAAGGCTTTGCTGGAAAACATTGTTTCCTGGAGGAGCCTTAGACACGCTCACCAGGGCCCTGGTTCTTAATTTGCAGCATGTGTCACCTTTGGATTCCCAAGCCCCATCCCAGACTCACTGTCTCAGAAGCTCAATTGTTTTGACATTTGCATGTCATCTATAGGGATTCTGACATGTAGCCCTGGTTACAAAGCACTGGACCAACACAACCTCTTTATTTTCCTGATGAGGAAACTGCAGCCCAGATGGGGCAGTGACCTTCCCAGAGTAACACAGCACGTTGATGGCAGCCTTGCCACCCAGCACTCTTCTGGGTCTCCAAGGCTTCCCTTCTGCCCAAGTGAGTCAGTATCGGGAGGCCCATGTGGCTGAGGAGGCTGCTGCCAGGAGGCCGCCGTAGCCACCAATGGGGAGCAACGGTTTGGTATTTCTGTTTATTGACTCTTTAAACTTCATCATCCAAAGAGAGTAGCAAGAGAAACATAATCTAAGACCACAATGACCCACCCACCCCAAACAAAACCAAAACCAAACAGAACAAAACAAACCCCATCTGAAACCAGACCTTTGGAGCTGTAGCTGAAGCAGCGAGGGGGCTGAGGGTCGGGCTGGCTCCCCACCGGCCGGGGGCTTGGGGACACTCCCTCGGGAGGGAGCCTTCGCAGCTGAAGAGGCCACATCCAGCCCCTGAGCTTTGGGGGTCCTTCCTGGAGGGGCTGCCCCGGCAGGAAGTGTGAAGAGAGAGACTCGGTGGTCAGGGTGAGGGGCTCCTAGGTCCGCCCCGAGGTGACTGTATGTGCCAGTGCATGAGACACGGGGAGGCGGGGCTGGGGATGGGGGCTTTGCAAAGAGCACGGGGGCCCTTTTCTCCTACCTGAGAGAAAACCCTGGCCAAGGCCCCATCAGTGTTCCCAAATCAGGAAACTACTCAAGGCACCACCAACAAACTGGGAAATGCCAAGGCCTGGGGAGGCCCCCAGCTGGGAGCCACTGCCCCAGTAGTCACCATCTTGTCCTGGATGACAGAGGTCAGCCCAGTCAGGACGGGGCCTTGGAAAGTTGATGTGAAAGGGCAGTGCTTTAGTGCCCTAACATGCAGTGTGTGTGTGTGTGTGTGTGTGTGTGCGCGCGCGCGCGCGCACGCACGCAAGGGGAGGGGATTGGTCCCTCCAGGAAGGCTTGGTTAGGGTCCCAGGGTGGCAGGAATAGGGTTATTTTCCTCCTGTCATTTCCTCAAATCATCCCCTACCCCAGGTCATTGCATAAATAAGTGCTTGGGAAGGTATACATCTGAAAAGGAACATAAATACTGTACATGGGAAAGGACTTCATTCCCCAGCCTTCCCGCTGCCCCCAGAAAACTGTCCCCAAATATTGCACATGGCCCTCCCCAGCCCTGTGGGGTCCAGGCCCAACCGCGTCTTTGGTAGAAGCTCCAGGGACAGAGGTCCTGGGCAGCGCACGTGCCCCCCACCCTGTCATGACTGGGGGCACCAGAGCAGCCAGAGGGCCAGGAGAGGCCTTGGCCTAGCTGGCCAGCGGGTGTTCCATCAGGAATGCTTCTGCGACGACGAGACAGAGCCCACGAGGGCACACGTGCGCCCCTGGCCAGACACTCCTGGTCAAGGTCTGCGTGAGGGCTAGGAGGAGGCAGGCAGGCTGATGGGCAGGTGGGCGGGCAAGTCCTGGGCCACAGCGGACAGGCTCACACCCTCCATAGGAGGAGGTGGTTTGTGCTGTCATCACGGCCCACAGTCTCACTGCTGCTGCCGCCCCCACTACTGAGCCGGAAGTCCTCGTAGCCGTCACCTCCACTGATAACCAGCATTTTAGGCCTGGCCGAGGTGGGGCTTCGGTGCCGAGGGGAGTCCCGGTGCTCCAGGGATGGCAGCTTCTCGGGGCCTGGGGGCAGAGGGGAGGATCCATCAGCCTGGGGGCGACTGGTGGCTTCACTGTCCCATCATGGTCTGAGTTCCCACACTCAGAAGACAGGAAGAAAGACATGCACCCTTCCTGTGGGCGATCCCACTCTCTGTAGGTCAAGAACTTATTTGGAAAGAAATGCCCACTTCCTGGCAGCCAGACCTCTTATCTCCCACCTGCACTTTCTAGTCAGGACAGACAGGAAGGGCGACACCACTTTCTGTGTCTCTTGATTACTGCACACATGATGTCCTTCTCATCATAATAATATAACGCTCCTACTTCAATGCCCTTTCCCAGCTGGGGAGCACAAGCCTGCCCTGGACCCGGAGGACCCTGACCCAGGCTTTATTGCTTCCTGATTTCCATGGCCACTTTCCATCGGGAACATGATTTCTTGTTCTGCCAAAGCAAAACATTTATGACTATGACCTCCTTCATGTACATCATTTCCTACCACTTCACTTTCTAATTCTCCCAGTTCATTTCCTGTCCCACGTGCCATGCTATGTTGTGTTTTCTGCTGCTATTTCTATTTCCTGCTCTGCACATCACTTTCTGCCCTGTATACTATTTCTGGTCCTGTCGTATTTCCCATTGTATATAGGAAATATATATAACAGAAGAAATACATGTAACTGGACATATTTCCTATATACATATTCCAGCTGTGCCACATTCTACTTTTTAGGCTTATGGGTCATTCCCTGTCCCCGACACCTCTTTGGACAGAACTTTATGTACACACAACACGTGCACACATGTGCTATCCTAGTAGGTTTCACTTGGGGCTCCCATCACCTATTTCCTGTGATATATGCCATTTCCAGGTCTATGCTACGCTTTTCCTCCTTCTTAAAACCTATTCTGGCAGGACAGCAGGGACTTCTAAACTGAAAGTCCAAGACCTCTGGCTTAGGGTGGGAAACACAGACCCACCTGTGTCCGGGGGAGGTGGTGGGGTTGGGCAGAGCAGGTTGAAGCCGTCTGGCAGCTGGACTGCGGCCAAGAAGCGGACATGGCCAGTGTGTCCCTGGCCGAGGCCGGCAGGGCTGAGTGGTGCCCGTGGGCAGCTGACAGTACCAGGCGAGGTGGGCATGGTGAGCACGACGCCGGCACTGGTGCCCACCCACAGCAGCTCCTCACACACCAGCAGCGCCGTGATCCGCAGGCAGGCGGCCTTGTGCTGCCGGATGATGGCATCCGAGCCTGGGGCGGGAGACAGACCAGAGCTGGGACCAAATCCTGGCCCCGGATCAGCCTCCTCAATAACAGGGCAGAAAGGCTCTAAGAGAAGGTGTGGTGGTAGCTTGAGGTCAGTACCTGCGAGCATCCTGTGCACGGGAGGAGTGACATCTACCTCTGCCAGCTGCTCAAAGGTGTCTGGATGGTAGAGACACACATGGGCGCTACCCTTCAATGTCACCCACACGCCCAGGCTGGAGTCCGCCATGCAAGCCACACTGCGGTTTGAGTCCTGCCCCACGTGAAACGTGTGCTGTGGGGGTGGCGTAGAGAGCAGATGGTCACCGGCAGCCCTGCTTCCCAGTGTCTATCCCTCCTCCCTTACAACTCACACCAAGCCTCTCCAGAATGCCCACCCGATGGACTGCAAAGGACGCCTTGGGCCATGGTTTGGATGATTAACCTTTCAAAGCTTGGTTTCACTGCTGACTCCCAACTTGATCCTCAGGAATTCAAATGGTGGTGCCCTTTCCCCACAAAACTTGAGTGATTTAAGGATCAGAAAATTTCAATGCTTGAAGAGTTTTAAGATCAGTCATTGGCCTCTCCCTGGACAGATGGGGAAGCTGAAGCCTAGAAGTAACCTGCCCAAGGCCACACAGCAAGGCAGTCACAGAGCTGGGGCCTGAACCAGACTGCAGCCTGGCCAATGATGGAATGAGAGGGAACTCAAGAGAACCTGATAGCACCAGGCTAGACACCTCTGACATGTACAAATGAAGCCAGGGCTAGAGGCCAGAGTGTAATGCTAATAGATGTTGACATCACGAAGGACTCCTGTCCTATTCCCAAAGACCCCAACACCTGAGCTAAGAGATAGGGTGGGCAGAAGCATGAATGAGTCCTGACATACACAGGCACTTACTGTCTTCCTCATCATCTACAGAAGAAACGAGGAGCAGGAAAAGGCAGGGGCTGGCCCAGGATCACACTGTGCTCAGAAGGTTCCAACCCCAGCTGGATGCTTTTAATGTCCCCACCATGGTCTCATCTTTCTCTCACATGGGCCCAGCTCACCCCCAGCCACCAATTCTGTTCCCCTACCCCCTGCTACCTCCAGCTGCAGCGTGTCAGGACTCAGGACAAGGATGCGGTTCTGGCAGCCACACCACAGCCGCCCGCCCACAGATACCATCTTGGTTATGGGGCTCCCCTGAGCACCCAGGGTCACTGATTTGAAGTTCTGGGGGTCCCAGAAACGGCCTGGAGTGGGAGTGGGGTAAAGAAAACAAGAAATTCAATCCAGTACTGAATTTAAGCCTCACTCTCCCCTGGAATGAGGTGTTAACATCCCCACTTATAAGCAAGGAAAGCGAGGCCCAGAGAAGGCCTGGAAGTCGCCCAAAGCCACACCTTCAGCAGAGAGCTCCAACACCAGCAGGGGGACTGGGGCAGGTAGGCACTGACCTGCTTCTCTTTGGTAGACCACAAGTTCTCCATTGGCCAGAGACACAAACACCTGGTTATTCAGATATCTGGGCAGGAAAAAGAGGGAGCAGTCAGGGAGTTCAGGAGGCCAAAGTGGGTCACCTGGGGCCTGGGGAATTAGATCGAATGGCTGTGGCTCCCAAGAGACCACCTCCTCCCACCCATGAGAAATCTAAGACTAAGAAGCAGTGATTTTCCCGAGCTCACACAGTGTGTAAGAGGCACAGCTAGCCTAGGGCTAGGGCTTGGGCCTCCAGCCTCTGCAGAGAGGAGGGGCAGCAGAGCAGGGGGACCCAGGTGGACAGAAAGAGGCCTGCCCATGTGGCTTGGAAGGATCTGGACGGGAAGGGCCATACTGGGGCCTTACAGGATGCAGGTCACAGAGGCTGCATGCTGGAGCTTCATGCTGTTCCTGCGATCACGGATGCTGTCGGAGGACTGGTACACGTGGACACTGTGGATCAGGGGTGTGCGCCTGTGACACATGCTTGGTGCACACCAGTCCCTGGAGTCATCCCTCCGCCTCCTCGCCTGTACCACCACGTTCTCCATGCCAGGTGCGTGCCCAAGGTACTGAGATCCCACGGCCTCCCGTTTGCTTCAGACCCATCCCGGCTGGCAGTGTCCCTGAGGTCTGACCCAAAGCCCTCCCGTCTCTGCCTCAGAGTTCCATCTGATTTCCAGGGAGCTCAGGCTTCTGGTACTGTGTCCCCAGCCCCTCTCCTGTCCCTACCAGCCATCTTCAGTGCCCAGCCACACGGAGCTCTGGTAGGCCTCGGGGTCAACGCTCAGCAAGTCCTCAAGGCTGCCCCGGGTGAAAGAGCCGCGGCTGGAGCGGCGAAGGGCTCTCCCATCCATTGGGCTGGTGCCACAGGGGCCGCCAGGCCCAAAGGAGCCAGACAGTGACAGGAAGCCAGGCTCCTGCTCCTCCTCTGAGCTGGTCGTCTCTGCCGTGGCCTCCTTGGAACTTGGGGTCTCCTCATCTGAGAAAGACAAAGCTCTCTGTCTCCATCCTGCTCCACCAGTCCTGAGACCTGGTATCTTCCTAGGCCTCAGTGTCACTGCATCCCTCCTGGCCATGCCCTTCCCAAGGGCCTCTTGTAGCTGTTTTGCCATCCCAGAGGCCTCTGCATCTGCTCAGACCTCTTACCCTGTGCACAGCTCACACAGGCTCCTGTCCTAGCATGGCCTCCCTTCCCTAGGGCCCCAAGGTTTGGACAGAGGAACCAACTACTCCACCTAGCACCCCATCTTCCTTAACTGGGCACTCAAGGGTCTTGGGGATCCTGTTTGACTATGACACTGTTCTTGGGTCCTTGGCGTCATGGCCTCTGCCCACCTTGCTGGCTCCCGCTGAGATCTGACTCCAGGCCACTGCCTACACTGGTCCCTCACACTCTCTGGGCAGCCCACCCTGCCAGGCAGCCCACCCTGCCTGCCAGCTCCAAGTTGGGCACTCACTGCCAAAGCTGGAGGAGATGGTGGACCGGCTGGCCTGACTCTGTAGGGTCCCGGAAGGACTGGGTGAAGACTCATCATCAGAGTCACTGTCAAAGGGCACCAGCTCTGGGCGAGGGTCGCCCTCGGCTGGGCCCGGCACCATGTCCAGGCCCGAGCCTGCGATGGAAATGTGCAGGCAGGGCTGGGGCCCCGGCTCCACCAGTGCCGCTGCTTCCTCGTCCACAGCGGTCTCCACGTCCAGTTCTGGCCCGGTGGGCTCCGGTGCCGTCTCGCCGGGACCCCTCAGCGATGGAGGCCGCTCCCTGTGAGACATAAGGGAGTGGGGATGAGTTTGGCTACAGGCCAAACTGCCGGACCTGCCTTCAGCTCCCCCACAGGCCCCGCCCACAGCCACCGGGCCCCGCCCACAACCAGATCCGAGTGGCTGCAGCATGCTGTGCCAGGGCAGGGGGCTTGGTCTCCCAGGCCCACAGCAGCGCGTCCACCCCGCCACCGAGTCTCACCGGTGGCAGCGTCGCTGCAGGCCGGGCACCGCCCCGATACAGAGGATGCGCGCGGAGCAGACGGCGATGCAGGCCTCCACGTCCGGCTCGGCGCGCAGGCTCAGCAGGCACACCTGGCCCACGTAGCCATCGCTGTTGCACACCCACACCTCGGGCGAGGGCTCCGGGCAGCTATTCAGGGTGGGGGCCGCGCACGAGAACTGTGGGAGGCACCAATGGACAGGGAAGGTGAACAGAGGAATTGCTGCCAGCTCCCCACTCTCCAGGGGGACCCCAGCAGAACGAAGGCGGGCCTGCATGGGTGTGTATGAGTATACACGACACTTTACACATCAAATGCACTCATGCCCACGTGATACAGGCATCTCCCGTACCTGCATGTGCACATACATATCCCAAGCATGATCACAAATACATGCATGTAACAAATGTGACAATTGGTAACCTTTGTACATATGTATGCAGACTCATACAGGCACATAAACGAGACAGCTTCCTATCAATCATATAGCCTTTGTTCATATGCACAGATACAGATATGCATGAAACATACCCATACACATGGGATACACATGCAGTGCACACCGGCACGTACAGAGAGCGGTACGTACTCAAAGACATAAGGAATAATAGCAATGTTCTAGTCACATATGCAACAAAACAAAAATTTTGTTGCAGACAAAACAAAAATTCATCAACACCCGCTGGCTTCGAATGCATGCACCTACACGCCACACATGCGCACACACCTGCATGCCGCTGCGGGTTTTCATGATGGGGATGGCCTTCAGGAATTCCGGGTCTAGACAGCTTTTGCTGGCTGCTGTAGTGGAGTTGGACGGATAGAAACGGGGACAGGGCAGAGGGAGGCAGGCCCCGCTTAGCATCTACCTCACCCAGGTCCTGCCCCTGCCCTGTTTCCCTTCCTTCCCCTCCCCCTCAGGGTCTCTCTAGGGAGGGCCTGACCCCGACCATATTAGAATGAGGCCATTGTGCATTATTCTCTGCTTGCTCCTGGCCTCGATCTTTTCCCATTTGTATGGTCTCAGAGTTAGACTCAGAGGTCTCTTAAGAATCTTCTAAGCCACGAACTCTGACTGATAGCTTTCCCTGATCTAGCCCTGTTCACACTCTGGAGGCGGAGTATGGAGAGGGTCTTGGTCATCCACACCCACTAAGCAGCCGGGCAGATAGCGATGACCCTATCCAGGGAATCCCCTCCCTGCTAGGGAGCCCCTGGGGAGGCCACAGCTCCTATTTATTCAGTCTGCTGTTTCACTGCAGAAGTCTCAGTCCACCCTCCCCACCAGGTGGAGCTGGAGCACATAGCACAGCAGTTCTGGGATTTCAGGCTCCAGAAGTCACAGACATCTGAGTGCAGCCTACTGCTTACTGCCCGGAGTTTCTAGGAGAGCACCAGTGTGCCCTGGCTCACCCAGCTTCCTCTTGGCCTCATCGAAGGCCTGTTCGAAGCCGAGGCGGGCATCCGGATGGGGGAACTCAAAGATGAAGGAGTCGGTGCCCTCGGGCCGTGTGGCACAGAGCTCCAGCTTGGTTGGTGGGAAGGACAGGGCGTAGCACAGCGCCTGTTTCTCCGACAGGTCCCGGTGCATGGCGGCAGACAGGTCCCGCAGCGCGTCATCCAGGCTCTGCAGCGAAGGAAGGTAGCCCAGGCCTCAGGCCTAAGCCTCTCATCACAGCCTGCGCCTGTCCTTGGGAATGTGTGGGGGACCCGCCTCTCTCCTAAGACAGCAAATGGGACTCTGTCTCCTTCCTTAGACCAGGAGGTAGCCTGGATTCGCCCAGGTTTGGGCCCTCTCTCCCCCTGAGACGGGGATGGATGGAGCTCTGCCTCCACCCTCAGACGTGGAACATGTCACTTCCCTCAGATGGGGGTGAGGCTGTAATTTTCCCTCCCAGGTAAGTGAAAGAGATGTCTCCTCCCTCACGCAAACGCCAAGGCTAAGTCTCTCCCTCAGATAGGGTCAAGGATCCCCCACCTCCCCAGCCTCAGGTACCGGGCACACACCTGGTGGGGGAAACCGAGGCTCTCAGAGAGCTTGTTCATTTGGCCCAGGGTGGTGAGGTCCTCATCTAGGCGGCTGATGGCTTTCTGGATGTTCTCCCGATTGGTGGCTTGGGTCACCCCTGGTGGGGATGGAGGAAGGCCAAGGACAGATACAGAGATGGACAGACAAGGTCCAGCTTGGACAGACACTCCTCCCCTCACTGCGTAACTTGCAACTGGGCATGGGGAAAGGCCTGACAAACCCAGAACGTATATACCCCAAGCTTTTGGGAACAAGGTAAACAGGCAGCTCCCAGAGAATCCCCAGGCCTGAGAGCAGAGGACTGGGCCTGGTTCAGAGCCACATGGCACAGGATGTTGGGCCATGGAGAAGTCCCCGGGAAGGCACACAGCATAAAATGGCAGACGGCTCCGCAGGCTGCACAGGCTCCAGCTGACAGGGAACCACTGGTGGTGCAGCTGCCTCAGGGGAGTTGGCCAAGCAAGCAGAGCCTCCGGCAGGCAAATCTGCTGACCAGGACACTTTCCCCACATAGGAGGGGCACTGAGCTGATGGCCTGGATTTCTGTGGCCCTATCCTGCACCTGACCATTGCCAAGTGGCAGGCCCTACCGGCAGCTCAGCACCCCCATGCCCTGTGCTGCCCAGTTCAGGGTGTACGCTCTGGACCAGGGGCCCATACATGGGGCTCTCCCTCCCCCATCGGCCGGACACACACATTCCTATTGCTTATAAATTACCCAGTCTGTGGTGCTTTTGTTATAGAAGCTCAAACAGACTATGACCATCCCCTGCTCCTTCTGACAGAAACTGCCCCTAACCCTAACCCTCACCACCTGGCAGCCACATTTTCTTCCACACACCCCTACCGCTCTCCTGGCCACACCTGACTGGACCAGGAGTGGGCACGTAACCTAAAGGTGGTCGTTTTATTGACTGGCCTGTTCTCTAGTGAGAAGAGATGAGTTGGACCAGTAATAATAAAAATCAGCTTGCACCCCCTGTGGTGACCTAGGTGCCCCTGGAGAGGGAGGCTGGGCCTGATCACTGGAGTTACAAGAAAGCAGAAAGCTAAGGGCAGCTAGAATGGGCCAACTCACAGCAAGAGGGGCAGAAGAGACAGCAGGAGGGCGCGTGGCTTCTGAAGCTGCCTCAGCTCCCGACAGTCTCAGACCCAAATGACACGGGCCGTTCCAACCAGCCCTTTGCTCTCTCTAACTTAAGTCAGTCCCTGCTCCCTGTGTACAAAAGCATTGAACCAGAGCAGTGCAACATCACCTAATGTTAGGTGCTCAAGTGAGTCTGTATAGATGAGTTAATGGCTAATTAGTTATGTCTGCTCTCCCTGCACCGCCCCGCCTGGCCCACCTGCCAGCGTAGGCCCCTGTGCAGACAGAAGGTGGTGTGTATGGACAGGCTGGTCTGGCTCTGTGGGTGCCACCAGGTCCTTCATGCCAACCCCCTTTTACAGGATGGGAAAGCACAGCCCCGAAGCAGGAGAGCAGATGGCCAGGTAGCCTCCAGCAGGGCTTCTGAGAGGAAGACCCCAACATCCAGAACCCTGGGGCAGGCCCGAGCCAGCCTCACCTTTGATAATGTCAGCGTCCTCCAGTGGCAGCTTCCACAGCATCTTATACTTGCTGGCCGTGTCGATGACACTGGCTGCCGTGTACCTGTGGGGAGCCAATAGGGCACTCTGGCCAGGGCGGGGGAGTAGGGCCCAGGGAAGAGCAACTGCTCCCCCTGCCCGCACCACCTGAGCCCCGCCCCGGCCACTCACAGGCTCATGGAGCTGCGCCGCAGGGAGCCTGACTTCCGCTTCAGGGTGGTGCAGACGATGAGGTCCGTGAACAGGAAGAGGGAACGGTCCTTCTTGCCGCCAATTGCCTTCTGTGGGGCCCGAGGCAGGATTTAGGCTGAGCGGACACAGTCCAGAAGCCCACCCATATGCTCACAGGGCCCAGGGGACAGCAAGGCCCAGGAGGAGCCAGGACTCCCCCCAGCTGCTCAGAGAGTCAGAGCAGGGTTGGGATTAGACCAGGGCTCCTGTTGGGGTTGGAGGGGCGGTTGGGGGCCAAGGGTTACCAAGGGGGGGAGGTGAGGACAGGTGGGCAGACACTGGGACGCTTCTTACCACTTCAATGACCATCTCCTGCCTCAGGAACCGCCGCAGAGGGGCCTGGAGCTGTGGGGCAGGAGGGACAAGGCTGGTTACTAGTCCCTGTCCTCTCCACAAATCCCAGTGATCCCTTGTCCCCACTCCATGGATCAGGCCACTGGAAGCAACGTCCTGTCCACCCTCCAAACACTGCTGCCAGGCCAAGGGACAGATGGTCAGAGACAGACAAGGAAGAGGATGCAGACAGGTGGGGATGTGTGATCAGAGATGCCGGCAGACGTGGATGCAAACACACTGCAGCCCCAACATGGACACACACACACACACACACACGGCCACGATTCCAGGTGACAGATGCAGACAGAGGCTGAGCACACAGACATGGGTGGGGCGGGGTGGGGCAGCACGCACATCCTCCATGCCCTCGATGTGAGCCTCGATCTCCTGCAGCACTCGGGCATGCCGCTCTGCCTCCTCCGCGCTCCGGACACCCTTGTTGATGCGTTCAGCTACCCGCTTGATGTTCCGCTGTGCATCCAGCAGGTGTGGGTGGTCTGGGTGGTCCTCAGGTGTGTGCTTCAGGAGGTCCTGGGGTGGGAACGGGTAGGAGACCTGCCTGCTTAGCTGCCCCTGGGGCCCCAGATCGACTGTTGGAGTAGGAGGGCCTATGAGTAGACACCAGAGAGGACCTGAACCGTGGAGACCCCGATGCCAGGCTCAGCCAGGCAGAGCCTCAGCAGCCCTGTATCCCCCCATTCTTCCCCCAGGCCTTGCCCACCTCCCCACCCAGCCCTATGCCCACCTTCACCAGAAGCTCATAGCGTGGGATCCGCTGCACAGGCTTGATCATGAGGTCAGACAGTGCCTGCTTCTCCTTGTTCTCACGCATGCTTTGCTGAAACCCAAAGCAGGATGGATAGGTGCCCATGTGAGGAATGACTTGCTGGGAAGAGTATGCAAGGGGACAGGCCCCCAGCAAGCTCTTCCAGCTTAGCCCGAGGTCAGAGGTTGGCCCAAAAACTAGGGCTATGGTGCCCAGACCGGGAGCCTCTGGGGCTCAAGGTGAGGGTCACCTCCACCCCCTGCCCTGGCCCACAGTACCTCCAGGAACTTGAGAAAGGCAGGTCTCGCCTCCTTAGCCACTCGCACGGCATCCTTTGCATTGAGGAAGTTATCAATATAGGCGGAATAGATGTTCACCAGGACATCTTTGGAGAACTGTGGGTGAGGAGGCAGGTTGGGGACTCTCAGGGGACACCTCACCCCAACTTCCCCAGTCCTGGTTTCCATTGATTCATGAGTCAAGATCTCTTCCCTCCAACTAGAAATGATACAGTCTCTAAGGGATCAGTCATGTGCTCCTGTGTCTTCTGGCTAAGTGTGTAAGTGCTGTGTGTGTGACATGTGAATAGGTATGTGTGTATACATACGTATAGGTGTACATTTATCTGGGTGTGTTTGTGTGTATACCTACGTATGTGTGCTTGGCTGTGTCCTGTGAGCTCAGACCTGGTTCGTTCACTTCCAACTGGACATTTCTGTCCCTAGGTCTCCAATGCCACTAAGTCCAGCCAGGCAGGTCCCCCTCCTTGTCTTCTCTGAGTGATGCAGACTCATTCTAGCCATCTGGCTTTGGCTCATGCAATTCCCTCCACCAGGAATGCCCTTCCCTATCCAAATCTCACCCACCCTCAGAGCTGAGCTCCAGTTCTGCCTGCTCCAGGAAGCACTCCCTGTCCTGACCAGGGCTCTGCCTGGTACTACACCAGGCCCCTGGCTTCTCTGGACCCCCAGGACAAGTTCTCCCTTTCCAAGGAGAGAAGTTCTCCTATCACACCCACAGTAAAGCCCTGCTCGGGGCAGGGCACACAGCTGGTGGCTAACACCTGCTGGCCAGCTGATGGCAGACTAAATATGGATTCTCAGTCTGAGTCCCTGGTTGGGAGTCAGGACACCTGGGTTCCTGTCTCAGGTGTACCATGGATAGACTAAGTGACCATTAGTGGTGTTTCTGACTCCCTCAAGGCCTCAGAGTCCTTCTCTCCAAGGTGTCAACTGTCCCTGCCTCTGCACAGAGGAGGGTATGAAGCAGCTCAGGGAGGAAGACAGCCCTGCCCAACCACCCCCATCCTGGGCCAGAGCATGCTGGGCTGACTGCTGCCTGGGCCTTGGCTTCTGTGACCAGCAGTCACAGTCCGTGACCAGCATGAAGCTCTGGGCAGGGGGCTGAGCCCAGTGACTCCGAGGGCTGGAGCTGTTAGCTCTCTATCCAGGCTGCGGTCCCACCTGGTCACATCAGTTTCCAGCTCAGCAGGGACATTCTAAGACCTTTTTAGATTCAAGTCCCCATGCCACATAATAATAAACACATTAGGACACACCCACACCTCGCAAAAATGGATATAATTTTCTTTTACTTGTGAAGTTTTTGGAAGAATTTTTACAATCATGCTTTTGAAATCATGTGGCTCTGAGTAACCATTTGGTTTGCATTTGGCTGTGATTTATCAGTCATCATCATATATTCTTGGGGATTCTGGCAAAATAACAAAATGTAACTTAAAAGTCTTTCAAATGTAGTTAAATTCTTATACATTAATGCTAAATTTAACAATGGAAGAAAATGGCATGCTATGCTTTACAGACGTTTCATTATATGTTGGAATTTTGAAATCAATGCCTTTTCTAAGGTCTCAATCACTACTGTAGGAGCTTGATAAACTTTCAGGGCAAGTCTGGTCTGTGGTGCAGGGAGTATAGCGCAGGGCAGAGCCTGGCTGGAGCCAGGTTTCCTGAGGTCAAAGCCCCCACCTCTTATTGTGACTCTGATCAGGTTACTTATCTGTCTCTGCCTCAATCACTAGCTTTAGAATCAGGGTAATCATTGCACCTTCCTCCTAAGGTTGTTGATATATATAATCTACTTAGAATAATGCCTAACACATAATAAATGACAAATAGTGTTGGGCATTATTATTAAAATAACTGATGGAGAAAAGAGCTAGTCAAGACTAGGTCAGGGTGAACAGCAAGCCCAAGTCCAGGGTCAGGATCAGGGCAGTTGTTTAGGTTCAGGTAAAGACAGGGGTTGAGGTCAGTACCAGCATCCATCTGATGTCTGGGTCAGCATCGGCACCAGTTCAGGGTCAGCACTAGGGTCAGGTCAGTGCCAGCCACTGGGGCTGGGTCCAGGATCAGGGCAGTGTGCTAACCAACCTTGGGGTTGGGGTCCATGCCAGAGTCTGGCCAAGCTCTGAGGTTAGGCAGTGTCCAGGTCCAGGTCCACCTAGGGTATGGGGTCAGTGCCAATGTCTAGCCAAGTTCTGGAGTCAGATCTGCGAGCAGAGTCAGTATCCAGGCAGGGTGGGCTGGGGGTGGGAACCATGGTAGCATCCAGCCCCTTCGAGGAGGGCCCGAGCTTGTGGGGGCTGGCAGAAGAGGGCAGCAGGGCCACTCACCGACTGGACGAGCATGGCTCCCACCGTCTGCTGGGCATGCCAGGTCTGCACACAGTGCCGAACCTGCTCCAAGAACTGCTCGTGGTGCTCCAGGAGCTCGGGGATCTGGTCAAAGATCTCGTCCACCAGCGATGGGTCACACAGCAAGGAGTTCTCTGGCTGCTTCAGCGGCTGCATGTAGCCCTAAGGACCCCCAGGATCAGCACACATGCCCTCAGAGAGAGATGGCCCCCGCCCCACCTACAAAGGCTCCTGTGAGAGTGTACGTGGATCACTGGGCCTGCCGTTCAGTGCCCTGCCTCCTGCGTCTCCCTGGGAAGACCAGGGCCTCTGGGAGGGAGACGGGAAGACCTATGCCCTCACGGCCCAGCCCAGGGCCTGACAAGAGATGGGAGTAAAGGAGGCTTAGGAAAGGTTTGTTGAATGCATGAACAAACAGAGCTTGAAATGAGGCAGCAAGATGGGGCTCCCTGGGAGATCATCCCACACTAACTCAGCGAAGATTTATTGAGCACTTAACTATGTGCCAGCTCTGCTCTAGGAACTGGGGGACAGCAATGACCAAGAAAGACCAAAATCCCTGTCCTGACAGAGCTTAAAATCTAGTTGGATGGCCGGGCATGGTGGCTCACACCTGTAATCCTAACACTGAACTGGGGGCCGGGCAGGTGGAATTTTGAGCTCAGAGTTCGAGACCAGCCTGAGCAAGACGGACCCCTCTCTACTAAAATAGAAGAAATAATGGCCAACTAAAAATATATAGAAAAATTAGCCGGGCATGGTGGCACATGCCTGTAGTCCCAGTTACTTGGAAGGCTGAGGCAGGAGGATTGCTTGAGCCCAGGAGATTGAGGTTGCTGTGAGCTAGGCTGATGCCACGACACTCTAGCAGGGGCAACAAGAGTGAGACTCTGTCTCCAAAAAAAAAAAAAAATCTAGTTGGATGAAACACATAAAAGGAATAGGGAAAAATAAAATCACATTGCATCAAATCTAAGCTACACCATCATTTGTATTTATCTTTAAGAAAAAAACTTGCCACCAATTACATTAGGATATGCCACTGATTATAGGATGAACCCTGACTTCGGAGACGTTACAATGCGAAGACCATGTGTCTTAGAAGTGAAGCGTGTAGAAATCACATGGGATGTTAAAAGGCAAGAACTGAGGCCGGGCGTGGTGGCTCACGCCTGTAATCCTAGCACTTTGGGAGGCTGAGGCGGGTGGATTACTCAAGGTCAGGAGTTCGAAACCAGCCTGAGCAAGACCCCGTCTCTACCAAAATAGAATAAATTAATTGACCGACTAAATAAATATACAAATTAGCCGGCATGGTGGCGCATCGCTGTAGTCCAGCTACTCGGGAAGGCTGGGGCAGTAGGATCGCTGAGCCCAGAGATTGAGGTTGCTGTGAGCTAGGCTGACGCCAGGGCACTCACTCTAGCCTGGGCAACAAAGTGAGACTCTGTCAAAAAAAAAAAAAAAAAAAAAAACAAGGCAAGAACTGCTGTGAAGAAGGTGGGGGAGCATAGCCGACCACAAGGGAAGTGACTGAAAGCTTTTAGTGACACTACCTGAACACTGTATTAGTTTTCAGATCTGCTGGTCAGTCTGTGACTAAAACTGCTATTTCACCTCAAATCTGCAGGCAGTGAGGTTCCCTGAGCGTGAACAGCACAGCTCAGTGGCTGGCGTGCTTAGGGGGAGGTCGCCCTCTGCTGGCCAAAATTGTCACTACAGGCCCAAGAAACGAGGGTATTATTTGAAAAAGCATATGTGATGTTGCAATAACATTTATATTAAACATTTAAAAAATCTGGCTTGTTTTGTAAAACAAGCTTGAAAAAGTAAATCTCAACAGAATCCTCTCGCCTGGTTGGGGATTCTGGAAAGGCCAGAGGTGACAGTGAGGAGACAGGCAGGCAGTCTCCCTTGCACAGCTCTCAGACCAGGTGGGCCAGCACCTGGGGCCTGGGCTGGGTCAGGGTCACTGCCAAGCCCAGGTGGCAGCTAAACTAAAAATAGAAACAAATTAGCTGGACAACTAAAAATATCGAAAAAATCAGCAGGGCATGGTGGCGCACGCTTGTAGTCCCAGCCACTTGGGAGGCTGAGGCAGGAGGATTGCTTGAGCCCAGGAGTTTGAGGTTGCTGTGAGCCAGGCTGACACCACGACACTCTACCCTGGGCAACACAGTGAGACTGTCTCAAAAAACAAACAAACAAGGATGAAATGCAACTTTATCCACGCATGCATGCAAGTACACAGAGTTGCAGGCAGTATACTAAATTATATACATATCTCTCTTGTCATCTGCACTTGAGGCAGGTACTGTTACTATCGTCACTCTACAGATGAGGAAACTGAGGCAGAGACTATGTAACATGCTCCAGGTCACACACCTGGTCAAGAGGTAGAGTCAAGCTTGAACGCCAAGCCATGCTCTGGACCACAGGGCTGGACCTCAGTCCTCCCTCCCACACTCCAGGGTTGCCTCGAGCAACAGTCCTTGGGTTCAGGCGACACCTTCCTGCACCTCCACCCCTCCACACCCAACACTCTCAGTTTCGCTTCCTCCACCCACAGGTCCTGAGCACCCTGTGGCGGGCCTGGGAGATTTGGAGGTATTAAGACACACCCAGGCCCTACCTGCTCCCAGCTCTCCACTGCTCCTGCCTGCGAACAGGCATGGGTGGTGTCACTTTTCAATCTTCTCGCTGGGAGATGGGTAAGATTAGCAATATTTTACAGGCAAAATCAAGGCTCAGAGAAGTGAGGTGATTAGACTGGTGTCATTCAGCAAGGAGGCAAGTGACTCAAACCCTGGACTGTCTGATCCTAATGCCTCCAACTTTCACCTAGGGGATGGCAAAGGACCCTGCGAGTCTACCCCTCCTGCCTGGCATTCTGGTTGGGTCCCTTCTATGGCTTCCTTTACATACAGTAAAGCCCAGCTCCACGGCCCAGCAGCCCTCAGGCCCTGCATGGCCTGGTCCTGCCTCCCTCTCGCAGCTACGCTGGCCACCTATGGTCATCTACTGCTCTAGGTTCCCTCCAGCCTCCCGACCCTTGTCCCTGCTGTCTCTTCTCCCCGGTAACATCCCTTCCAAGCTCTCTCTCGGCTGAAATCCTACCCACCCTTCAAGTCTCAGCTAAACAACCCAACCTCAGAGAAGCCTTCCCTGGCCCCACACCAGGGCGGGCCCCTTCTGTGTTCCCTCCTCTCCATGCACTCTTTTTTAGAAAACAGATGCAGCAATGTATTTTTTGTGGTAAAACATACATAATATAAAATTTACCATTTTAACCATTTTAAGTGTATAGTTCATCACATTCACATTAAGTACGTTCACATTCTTGTGCCACCATCACCACCACCCATCTCTAGCCCTCTGTCCCCAGTAAGCACTCACTCCCCACTCCCTCCTCCCCAATCCCCTGGCAGCCACCTTTCTTCTGTCTCTGTGAGTTCAACCACGCTAGGGGCCTCGTGCAGCGGAATCATATTTGTCCTCTTGTGACTGGCTTCTTCACTTAGCATAATGTCCTCAAGGCTCACCCGTGTCACAGCACGTGTCCGATTTCTCTCCTTTTTAAGGCTAACACCCATCGTATGTATGTGCTCTGGTGTGTGCTTTTGCATCACCCTGGGTAACGTGTAAGCTCTGTCTGGCTCGCTACCGCCAGTCTCTGCCCCAGACCGTAAGCTCCACAGATAGGCCCTCATGGCTCGGGCACTGCTGACCCGGCCCCCACAGGCAGCACTGAAGAGGCTCACTGTGCGTCTGTGGAGTGAGTGTGTGAACGAATGTTCTGGATGTTTCCAGGGCTTTACCTTCATCCTTCACTCTCACTCTCCCTGGGTGGCCTGAGCGAACTCATCCTCTGCCGTGACTACCAGGCCCCAGGGCTATGTGGGCATCCAGGCCCTGGACCTCCCCAGAACCCACACGTCTGAACCTGAACTCACCATCTTGCTCCAACTGCTCCTCCCCTGGGCTCCACCTTCCCAGGCCAGGAGCCCAGGCATCAAGCTGGGCTTCCCCACCTCGCCCCCCCAGTCACCACACCTGGCCTGACCGGTCTACCTCCTGAGTGTCTGTCCCCAGCACTCCCTCCCTGCAGCCTCTGCCCTCACCTGACCTCAATGGCCTTGGCCTTCTCTTCTGCCACCCACCTTCCCAGCCGTCAGATTCATGAAGCATTAATCAGGCCACACACCTCCCCTGCTCAAAACGCTTTGCCGACTCTCCAGGTTCCTCAGTGGAGCCCACGCCCTTCCCCTGGTGTTCAGGGCTCCCACAGTGTGGCCCTGCTGACTCCTGCAGTGTCACCATAGGACCAACCCCCTAGGCTCGTGGTGGCCACATGGACCTCTGCTGCTGAGAAGACAGGTTTCTGCAGAAGCCAACACCTCCTCCAGGGAACCTTCCCTGAGCTCAGATCTGGCAGTGCCCCTCGCTGCTTCTAGAGTGCCCCATATATTCAACTACGTCCTGGTCAGGGCTGAGAGCTCCTGTGACAGAGGCTGGTCACTCTTACTCATCTGAGTCCTGCACCTGGAACAGGGCCTGCACAAAGCAGGTGCTCAGCATTTAATTCCATTCAACTAATATTTTCCCAGCCAATGAATACAATGGAGGGGCACATCAGAGGGGGTTCTCGGATCTAAGCGTAGGCCCAGGGCTGCCTGGGAGTTCGGAGGACAGTGGGGAGGGATCCTGCCCTGGAATGGCCTGGCCTGGCCACTCTGTATTCTCTGCTGCCCAGGAGGGGGCTTCCTTCTCCTCTGGGGCAGCCATGCAGGGGTTCTCCACGGAAGGGTGGTGTGTCCCGGGCTCATAGCTCTCTGGCCTCAGCCCCTTGTCTGTGAAGTGGGTTTGTGCATGCCTGTCTGATAGCCTCCTGGACTCAGATCGGCCGTTCTCAGGGCCCTGGGCTGTGACCTTACCTGCATCAGGGTGCGCAGTGACTCCACGTACGACTGCTCGGTGTCCAGCAGGGTCATGGTCACGTGCTTCCGCATGTCCTGTGGGGACAGGAGGAGAGGGTGAACAAGGGTCTCGTTCCTCTCAGACCCCATCTCCTGCAGCCACATGGGGCCCAGAGAACCCATCCACACTCTCTCCCTGGCCTTCAAGGCTTGCACTCCTGCCACCCAGGGCTCCTGGCTGTTCCCCCAAAGCCCTGGACCCCCTTCTGGCAGCCCTTTGCTTAGGTGCTCCCTGCCGGGAATGCCCCCTCGTGCCAAGTCTCCCATCTGCCGCCTCCCTAGAGTTAGGCCCTCACTCTTCCACCCCCCCGACCCCGCAGCTGTGGGCATATCTGCAGGTCTCTGTTTTACTTCTTGGCTTTCTGCTGGGGCTCATGAAAAGGACTCTTAAAAAAACAAAAACCTTTCACATCTGCAAAGGACGATGCCTCCAGGCCACCACCCACTCTAGCTGCCAACTCGCAAAACCCTACCTTCAGGCTGAGCGCTATAAGGACATGCCCACCTGGCTGGGCTCCACACCTCTCCAAGAGCAGACACTGTCACCTCCTGCTACAGATGAAGACACCATGGACCAGAGGGGTGACATCAGTGCGAAGGTCACACAGCTAGGTGGTGACAGGGGTCAGCCCCTCTCAGACCAGAAGGGACCCCACTTCTCTGATTTAAAAAGACTAACTGAGCCCTCTTATGCACCAGGCCGTGTTCTAAGCATTATATTAAATACTCCCAACCATCCTGTAAGGTGGACGTAATAATAATATTCTCATTTAAAGATAGGGAAAAGGAAACCCAGACACTCATGCCTCCATCCTGAGGATTTGATGATCTGAATTAGAGTCCCCAAGGGTCACCCAGTCTCTGCACTCACACCCCCAGGGACAAGGGAAGCTCTGTTCTATGGGAGGCTTTGCTGGATGCTAGCCCGGGAATGCCATCTCTGCCCTCAGCCCCCTGGGACTGAGCTTACCTGCTGCCAGTTCCCGCCAGTCTCTACACCTCTGGCCCCTTCTCCAGAAAGCCTTCCCAGACGCCACCAGCCCAACAGCTTCCTTTCTCCAGCAGAGACTCCACTCCCAGTCTCCAACTAACTCCTCTAATCCCTAGAGTGGTGCTGGCAAGGCCTCTAACTGTTCTAGGTGGCCCAAGCATCTGTCTGGACCCTGAGTCAGGCTCCAGCCATCAAGGACTGCTGGTTCGAGCAGACACTTTACAGGAGGCAATGCCAGGGTGAGTGTCCAAGTCAGTGGCATCTCTCCAGCCCCCAGTCCTAGAAGCCCCTCAGGGTAGGGACTCAGATTCAACCAGTGGGGATGCCCTGTCATTGCTGTGCCCAGGGCCCACGTCTACTTGGTGGACCTGACCCCCAGGCCTTGTCTGGCTTACTGGACCCAGCCACTGCTCATCCTTCTGCTTGTGGTACACCTACGTCAGGCCTCCCACTCCTGACCCAAGGACTCAGGGACTCGGGGCTCAGGCCTGTCCCCCAATGTCCTACAATGAGGCACATGTGGAAAAGTGGGCTTCCATGCTAGGAACTCAGTGGGGGGGGGTGAATGACATCTCCTGGGGTGGGGGTGGGTGTAGGAGGCTGGCTTGCCCCACCTTGCCCGCCCTGTGCTCCGATGGGTGAGAAGGCATTGGGCCCTGCCTTAGGACCCCCAGATACCAGACCATCCATCTATCTTCTGTGCTTCTGAGGCTTTTAAAAAAGCAGGGCAGCTTCTGGAGGGAGGTGGTATAAGTCAGCCCAGCCCTAGGATGGAGAGCTTGGGACAGCACCAGGGCCAGGAGGGCCTTCCAAGGAAAGGCCCAGACATGCCATCCTGATCCACCCCAACCCCAGGGATATCTCAGCACCTCACAGACACAGCTTTATTTCAGCCTCACACTCAGCTCTGTGACAAAGGTGTGTCATGTCCACTGCACAGACAAGGAGTTGAGTCAGAGAGGTGATGTGAGGTCACAAGGTCACACAGCCAGTGATCAGCAGAGCCAGGACCAGAGTCTCTTCAGCTACCTCATGCTGAGTCTTGGGGCCCTAACACCCAGAGTTCACTCCCAGACCGACCAGGCAGCCACAGGCCACAGGGCTCCCAGCTCTGCCCTTGCTGGCTGTGTGACCTTGGTGGCCACCTAACCACCCTGTTCCCACATTCTTCTCTACTTCATACACGTGCAACTGATAACCCCTCCCTCTCAGCGCTGTTCAGGCGACAGGAGGCAGGGCAGCCCCGTCCACACACGCAGGTCCTCGACACCCATTCTCATTCTACCTCGGCCACCCTCCCCCGCCACACCCGTGGCCCAGTCAAGCCAGCGGGCACAGTGAGGGGCAGGGGCAGGGAGGCTTCCTGAGAGGCAGGGCTGGCGCTGGGCCTGATGGCCGGGAGGCTGGGGTGACACAGGGAGGCTGACGCTGCAATGCCCGCCTCTCCCAGCCTCCTCCCTGCTGCAAAGCACAGTGGGCTGTCACTCAGCTGTCAGGTAACGGCAGGGAAAACAAGGCCAGTTCCCTGTGACTGCGTGGAGCACCCCTCCGCACGTGCCCACACACGGGTGCAGTGCATGTGGGGGGTCCGGGGGGAGGACGAGGGAAGCAGGTGATGGACAACGCAGCTGTCAACCAGAACAGCAGCCCCACCTGTTCCCGCGGGACAGCCCTGCAGGCCCAGCCTGCCCACAGGGCCCCTCGCCCCTCAACAGCGCCCCCCTCCAACCCCCACTACATGGGGCACTGAGGTGGGGACGGGGGTACAGCAGGAAGACGGAGGGAGCCTCTCCTCCTAGTGTGATTGGGGCATCACGACCTGAAGACTGAGACTTTGACGTCCACAGCATGAAGACAGAGACACAGGCACACAGAGAAGCCATAAAGGCAAGACACGCCACATAGAGACGAAAAATGCAGCCAAGCCACCCAGCTGAGAACCAGGCCTTCCAGCCCAGAGACTCGAGACTGTTGAGACACAACACAGCACAGGAAGGAGGACAGAACAACAGCCCCCACTGTACCTGGCAGAGTGGCACCACCAGGGTCCAGGCCCAGGGACACACACAAAGACATGGAAACAGCCCCAAGAAGCTTGCCCCCACCCTGAGCCAGGAAGGGGGACACCGCTGTTCCCACCACAGTATGACACCTCCAAGGCCTAGCAGCCCAGCAGAGGGAGAAGATGGCAAGGGGGGAGCAAACTGGCTCTCCCCAGCACATGCACCTGGGAGCTGCCTCCAGCCTGAGTACAAGGCTGGGAAAACCTCCTTCCTGCGCCTGGGGACCCAGGATGCCCCTGGCAGCAGCCTCTGCTTCTACACTGACCCATTTCGCCAGCTGAGTGCCACCAGGCCCTGACCCTCAGCGCCCTGCCAGCCACGCCATTCGTTGCCAGGGCTCCTCGCCCTCAATCTCCCTGCCCTCATCTCTGGTCACAGAGCCCTGAGGCCCATGGCCAGGCCCTGCACTCCATGCTTCCCCCAGGCTCTCCGGTCTGCTGAGTTCTAGGCCGCGGCCCAAGTCCCTGGCTGCCCCTCCCCTTTCCCCGTACCTGAGCCTCCCCGGGCTCCTCCGCGTCAGCGCCGCTGCCCCCAGACGGCTCCCCAGCCGGCTCCCCGGCAGGCTCCCCGGCAGGCTCCCCGGAGGTGGCGGCCGGGCCCAGATCGCGCATGTCTTCCAGCGCGATGGTGAACTGGGCCAGGGTCTTCACCATCTGCAGCATGCGGCCGGCCCGCCGCCCGGGCGGGGGCGCAGGTTGGCGCGGGGTCTGGGGACACCCCCTTCCACCCTCCTGGCTCGCTCAAGGGCTCAGCCCAGCCCCGGCAGCGGTCGCGGCGTCAGTCCCAGCTAGGATCTGAGCACGGCGGCCGAGCCGAGCCGTGGCGCCGCTGCCTCCTCCGCGCAGGGAGTGCGCCGCCTAGCCCCGCGCAGCGCCGCTGGGGGAGGGGGTCCCCGCCCTCTCCGCCCGCCCCGTCTCCCCCGACAAGCCGCACGCTGAGGGCCTCGCACCCCTCCCCCAACACTGCGGGTCAGCTAGCGGACCCATCCCCCGCCCCACGGCACAGTTGGCACACACTGATGGACAAAGGCAGGTATACGCCGCGACATGTACTTTCCGTCCACACCTGTACCCAATGTGGGCGCACACTGAACGCAGATCCCCACCGAGGAGCCACGGAGGCACGCACACACCTACACTGAGTAGGCCTTGGCATGGAAACCTGCCCTCCGGCCTTCATCACTCGCGCAAGCGGGTTAGAGTCAAGTCACACAGCGCAGTCCCACAGACCTGAACCCTGACACACATGAACCTTTCGTGTTCACACAACTATGGCCGGGCAGAAACAGGCACACCTGCCCAGGCGCGGCTATTTAGGGATGTGCACACACACACACATCCCTGGAAATTCCGCACTGGCCTCTGACGCAAGGGAGGAGCACTTGGGCCTGAGGAGACTGCCACCCAAAGGGCCCACCTTAAGTCACCCCTATCCTTACCCCTGCACTGCCCAGCTTGACCTGTGTCCTGTACCTGCCACAGTCTTGTCTTCTCCACCTGGCTCTGGCACTTACTGCACCACACACCAGACTGTACTCAAGGATGTTTCCAAGCAGGATCCTCAGAACCTGCTTCCTCAAATCCCAGAGCAATGGCAGAACGTATCCTGGACCCATTTAATCAGACTGAGCAGCAGGGGTGCTCTAATGCACCCTGCAGCTGTGCCTCAGCCCTGGCTGACTTCACGTCCCCCTTAGTGTACTAAGGGCTCCCACTTCATCAAGCCTCCAACTGACTCCCTTTCCTAAACCTGCTTTCCCCTGGGTTTCCTGTGCAGTGGAGACATCCTGACCCTATCACTCAACACTGGGCCCACCTGTCCACTCCTCTCACCCTCTAGCTTGATTCCAGCCACTTCTGTTATAACTTCTAGAAAAAGATCATGCTCTCTCCTGCCTCAGGGTCTTGGCCCATACCTTTTCCCTCTACTGGGAATGCTTTTTTCTTTTCCTTCAAGACCAGTCTCCACACAAATATCACCTC